TCCTTTTCTCCTTCTTTCCTTCTTCTTTTCTTTTCTTTTCTCTCTTTTCTTATCTTTCTCTCTCACTCTCTGTACCCCTCCCCACCTTTCTGAGAGATCGTTTTCATTGTGGTTGATGTAGACTTTTACAAAACACTTCAAAAAGAAATTAAATAACCCAATAAAATTATTAGGTCACTGGATGACTAAGGTACAATGTAAATGTGTTAGATCAAGTCTGTGTCTGGGTTGTTGCAGCCTGTAACTGAATTTCAAATACTGCTATAAAATGTGAGGGAGGGGAGTGGGGAGGGGCTGGGGAACAGATCAGGGTTTCTAATCAAAGACAAAGGTTTTGAAAGCACAGGAAGTTGTATTTTCTTGTTGTGAGGGCTGGGATGAACCACTGCTGCTTTGAATCAAGAGGTCCTTTAGAGCCTTAGTTAAAACACCTTTATTTGGGGGGTAGGGGGGTGGGGGTGCTACATTCATCACAAATATGAAGCAAAAAAAAAAAGTCTACATGTTGCAGGGAAAACACTGTGAATTTCACAATAGCAACCAAGTGACTATTTTGCCATCTTTTAAACATATGTCTCAGGAGAAGAAATGGGAAATGATGGGTGTGTTATTTTCCGTCTATGCATTCTAGACCAGGTCTGTGGGGTTTTTTTGTTTGCTTGTAGAAGGTTCTGAGTGATGACCAGCTGGTATTTTATAAACACTGAATACTTTGGGCAATGATAATAGAAGCTGCTAGTAGTGAGGCCATTTGATTGGAATATGTAAGAAAACAGAGATCAAATCAAATCTTTCCAGAGGCCTATATCTTGCAGCTTATATGTATCTTTCTGTAACTTAAAGAAAAGCAGCTAAGAATGTTTTATATACAAGTAAGTTAATTCAACACTGATGTTTAATTGAATCACCAATAGAGAGAGAATCAATTAATTATGAAATATTTGTCCCAGCCCTGCTCTCCACCTATACTTTATGTATATATATATATTTCTAGATATCGCTCTCTTTGTCACTTAAGGTAAAGAGGAAGATATCTACATATAAATATAAATCTCTATATTGTCACCAAACTGTGACCTGGTGTGTAGAGCTACTTTTCTCCTTTCCTTTTTTTAATGTGATGTCTCCGTGGAAATATTTAGTGGTTCTTGTTTTGCAGTTTGTTATAACAAGTCATTGCTTTAAAACTTTCATTGCATCTTGGCTGATTTCAAAGTGATGCCTAGGTATCAGTGTTAAAAGTTTTGTTTGTGAATCATGTGACCAGCTTCTCTCAATATGACATGGAAAGTCTCTTGTATTACAGTGTATTTAATAAAAATGATGTCTTACAATAAACAACATCATCCAAAAGAAAGATAAAACCATCACTTTCAAAAAACTAAAAATTCCACAGTGTTGTGTGCTATTTTCTTTTGTTTGAATGCCTTTGTTTACATCCATTCTTTTTGAAAATGATGAGATTAAGGAATAGTTTGGTATGCTTACAAACGTGACATATTTGCGCTCTAAAACTCTGAATAAAAAACAGGTCACTGAACTTGTAGTTGATGAAA